TTTTTCAGAGTTGATGGTGTCCTTAGGTATTAAAAATTTTACAGGTACTCGGGTACGCTGAAAAAATTTATAATCAATTGCAAATCTATAAGCTGGATACTGATGATAGGTAGATGAAATTAGAACACTGCTAACATAGTCATCTTTTAAAAGATAGCTGCTCTTTTTTTCCAAGAATATTTTGAATGAACTTTCGATGGCAGATCACAATGTCATTCAAAGTATCGGGATCAAGAGAAAAACAAAATTCAATCACCCAGGGTAATTTGGGTACGTCGGTTCCTGCGGGACGGGTTTCATTTCCGGTGTCCTACGACCATCAGATTTCGTCGATTCCGCTGCACCGTATTCCGATGAAATGCACTGTATTCCTTTGATATACGCTTGTCGGATTCATGGAGTTTCGATCGGATTAATACACTCAGAACCGATCAGATCCGATCTTAGAATCAGCATGTATCCGGTATGATTCTGCGCTATCCGATCTCAACAACTGATCGGAATTCGCCGTTTTAAAACACACTGAATTCTGTGATAAATCCTTCAATTACTAGTATCGGAACTTCTCGGATTCCACAAGAAACGCAGAAGTTCTACCCATCGAGTTTTGTCATGTCGAATAACACAGATCTGCTAGGAATCAGTTACCCGTGGTTATCGGATACAGACAGAAACTTTTGTCACTGATCAACATTGTTAATTAGTTTTTCATCAAAGCGATGACAGTCGGTAGCTGAACTATGAACTCATCCTGTTAGGTTTTATTGAGCGCTATAGGTATACTAATATACGCATAAGGGTATATGTATAGAAAAATACCCATAAGGGTATCCTAATAGTGATATACCCATGAGGGTGTAAGTATAGTAATATACCCGTAAGAGTATAAGAATAGTAATATACCCATAAGGGTATAGCTATAGTAAAATACCCATACTCTGAAAACAAAAAAGGCTTTATACGAAATTAAAAAAGGGTTTCGTGATATGCACGAAACCCTTTTTAGGTTTCGCAGTTTGTAACGAATTCGAAACCCTCTTTTGGTTTCGTATAGTACTACGAAACCCTCAAAACGGTTTCCTGGATGCTTTTTACGTCTTTGTAAGGGTTTCGTACAGCGCTACGAAACCATTATCAAAAATAGATGGTTTCGTAGTATTATACGAAATCAAAAAAGGGTTTCGAATTCGTTACAAAACTACGAAACCCTTTTTGTTTTCAGTATAGAAGTATAGGTATACTAATATATCCATAAGGGTATAAGTATGGTAATATACTCTTAAGGGTATCGGTATACTAATATATTGATGAGGGTATAGGTGTAGTAATATACCCATCGGGGTATAGGTATACTAATATACCCATAAGGGTATAACTATAGTAATATATCCATGAGGGTATAGGTCTACTAATATACCCATGAGGGTATAAGTATAGTAATATGCCCATAAGGATATAGGTATAATTATATACGCATTTAAGTGTGGGAGCATTCGTAATACTGTAGGAGGATGAATTGTGGAGCAATGCCCATGTAGTGTCATAAAGTCCTGCATATTCCGAGAAAATCCGGCGGAATATCTATCTAGGGCGAACAGGGGACGTCGGATCCTGTCGGGTGGGTTTCAAATCCGTCGCTACACGACTGTCGGATCCGGTCGATTACTTTCCATCGAAATCCGATGATATCCCCTATTTTCCTCTCATGTCCGTTTATCGGATTCGACGCGTTCCAGTCGGATTCATACAGTCGGAACCGATGAAGTCTGATGTTAGGATCTGGTCACATTCGAGATGATCCAGGGTCATCTGGTATCAAGAAACAGTCGGGATTCGCCGTTTGAGATGACACTAGATTTCATGATGAAACTCCTCAATTGCTGATGTCGGAACTTGCCGGATTATATAAGAATGCAAGAGATTCATCCAGCAGATTTTGCCGTGTTTCACATTATAGAACCGATAAAAACCAGCCACCTGCGGTTATTGGAAACAATCAGGAAATGTTGTAAATGACTAACCTCGGTAGCGAATGTTTCGTGGAAACAACAACATTCGATAATTGGATTGTGAATTCGTCTCACGAGAGAACATATTGAAGTGTCAAATCGCTTTTCAATCGGGTAAAATCACAAACGATAGAGCTCAATAAGTTATTAAACGCCCTAGAATAGTGTGGTTTTCCAGGCTTCTCTTCTGGAGTTATGTGCATTTTACTCGATTTTGGCCTATAGGGAAAGAATTTCCTGAGAACCTAAACAGTCGAATTTCGAGTTGAACCTTTGACTATACACAGGTCTTATAGTCACTAAAAACTTCTCAAAGTTTGAGCGAGAACGAATGTATCCTTCCCAAGATATTCATATTTTAAAGAAACGCTTGTTTTGGGATATGTTTCTCAATAGGATCATTTTCATGATAAGCTCATAATTCGATAAGGATACATCCGTTCCCGCTCAAACTTTCGGAATTTTCCAGTGACTGTAAGACCTATCTATGGTCAAAATTTCAGCTCGAAATTCGACTGTTTAGGCTCTCAGAAAATTCTTTGCCTAGAGGCCAAAATCGAGTAAAACGCATACAACTCCAGATGAGAAACCTGGAAAACCGCACTATTCTAGGGTGTTTAATAACTTGCTGAGCTCTATCGTTTGAGACGATACCCGATTGAAGAGCGGTTTAACACTTGAATATGTTCCCTCGTAAGTAATAGGTATCTGTATCTTACAATGTCCATTCATAGAAAGCAATATCACATCATGATTGATGCAAAAATTGCGAAATTTCTTTAAATGTGAAAATGTTCTATCAGAAATCAATATAATTTTTTTCCATGAATCCACCATAAATTACCAATATATGCTTAGAAAAAAAATCCAGTTGCTTGCACAGTTATTGAAACTTCTTCCTCGTTATTTAGCTTATCAATAAACATTCCCTTGTGATGCTTCTAAAATCTTCGACATTGCGTTGAAATCTGTGATTTCGATTTCGGTCAACTACCTATTCACCGTTTTGTTTTGCTGATATCGATCTATATAAACAACTCGTTACGCTAAGGTTTCAGGTATATTCAAGAAAGTTTTCTTGACGTAAGTCTTATATACAAGAAAGTACCTCGCATGATTCATAGCGCATATGTAGGAAAGATCCTACTTGATTCATTGCCGATACGCATAATCAATCCTACAGGATTGATAGCGCGAATCTAGCAAGTTCTCTGTCGGATATACTATAACAATCCCCTCCCACAATAGTGGACATTCTTCCAGAGGAATCTGGATGAAATCCTTTTGAAATCCTGAGATATGCTGCAAAAATCTGAAGACATCTTACTAGGATTCAGAAGTCTTGAAGAAATCTTAGAAAGATGTAGTGGAATATTGATGAAATCTCGGTAAAATGCGGGAAATCATGATGAAATCAGTCAGATTCCGACTACAACCGGCGGTATGTTTTCCGAATTTCTTCGTCTTCCGTTCTTTCTCTGTGGGAGGACCCGAGCGGTTACCAGAGTTTTCGATCGTCGGATTCGACAGGACTCGATCGGATCCTTTTCCGGCATAATCCGGTCCAGAATCCGTTAGTTAGAAATCTGGAGAAATTCGGTCCGGTTCCGATCGGTTTTTAACGGAATTCGCTGTATTCCGGCGAAATCCGACATCGGATCCGATGGTTTCCGGCAAGATGTAGAAGTCGGATTGAATCTCCAGGGTAGGGTCAGCGTAAATTATCCGACTTTTACAACTGGAAGATCTTATCAGCTCCGCCAGTATCCGGTGCCGGATTTCTGTGACAAAGATTCCGACGCAATCCACGTCGGATCCGGTCGAGTTATCTATGGATTGTGCCGGATTCCAGTGCAATCCGATGTCCGATTCAATCTTTTCCGGTGGAAACTACAGGTAGGATTGAGTGACCTGGGCAGTAATAAATCTACGACATAAAAAAAGGATTTAAACTCAATCAAATTCACAAAAATCGAGAAACACGAGGAATGGATAATACTAAATACCAAAATTTGTGTTCATGGTCTCTTCAAGATGCCAAGGACGTTGATTGCCAAGAAGAGCCTTGAATAATCATTCCGCCATATTTGTTTGATTTACTATGCTTCAATGTTATTTTTTGAAAATGTATGAAGTTTGTAAGGTGCAGGCAGTTCGAACTTCGAGTAAAATTTTTGTTGCCTATTTTTTTACATCGTTTGATAGAGCAAGAGCCGCTGATCATGAAAATCTACTTTTTAACCTTAGCGAATACTTCCTTCCGGTCGAAAAATATGAAATACCTTGAAGGTGTCATTTTTCAAGAAAAAGGCATTTTTTTCGAATTGTTCAAAATTTTCTGCATTCGTCTTTGCTTCAGGTTCTGAAAATAATTTTTCCGATTCGGCATCAGAAACTAAGTAGAAATAAGTTGTTAAATCGACTTTAAATCCAACACTCTATTAATGGTGGCGCTTCAAATCCGATGGAGTCCATTAGCCATAGGACGATTTTGTAAACCTATCTAGTTTTTTCATGTAAATGATGGAATGAAATATTTTATCTCATTTTACTCATCATACCAGCCCTCATAACACTACGGATCATTTTTTTCTTGTTCCTTCCCTGTGCTGAGAAAAGTCGTTTTTACTGATATGATAGGATAAATGGGGAGGTCATTCTTGAATAAAATGCCTATTTTTTATTCAAATCGAGTAAAAATTTGTTCATATAGGTAAAAACTGATGGCTAATCGAATGAACAATATTTAAGGGTTCTCCGAAAGATCTTTAGAAGGTCTCTGGAGAACCTGGCCTAGAAAACTTATCTGATAATAGGAGCTAACGGTATTATGTGTCTTTCTTTAAGATAACTTCCTTTTTAGCATAAATAATTTAGTCTACTATGCCTAAAGTGAACAAAAGAAGACGTAAAGTGCAAAGTGCATTAGCTCGTCGTTGATCAAGTGTAGTCGTTTCGTCCTCAAGTGAGTCGTCAAATGAAGAATATAGCATGGATATTGATGATCAAGGGGTAGCTTTTAATGAAAAGGTTCTTTTAAGCGATATTGTTGATCTTGCTGAAATTTGCAAGTCGAAATGTGACACGAAATATCTTACAACTTTACTCTATATGTCGCTGCGTTTCTTCAACATCAAGTGGGAAGACATTAATCAATTTCTAAAAGATGTTGGTTTTATGATAGCGGAAACGTCTCATAAATGGGCAACAATGTTTATCAAGGGAGATTATGAAGAGTTTTCGAATGATTTACGTGGTGGTAAGCAGACTGATTCGTTTTATGATATGTTTCCAGAGATTGAAGCAGATGCCAAAGCATTTGTCGTTCAAGTATGTTCGCGTAAGTCGGGAGAGTTTAAGGCTTTGCATTTGACTCAGTTTATTGATGAAAAATATTATGAATTAACGGGATTGGAAAAACAAACTGGCGATGATTTTATAAGAACAGAGAGAAGTTGTCGTGTTGATCTTCGCAAATGGGGAGCTAAATTCGAAGCGAATTCACAACGTCCATACTTTGAAGGACATGAAAGAGACGATATGGTAAAGCATCGCACTGAATTTATTAATTATTTTCTAGCAAATAAAGACTTTTATTATACAATTACGGATGATGACACACCTAAGTGGAAGTTGCCGACTTCATGACCTCATCGAATACTGATATGTAAGCAAAGCTTTCAGATAGTTTCAGATATCATCTTATTATCCTTCTTCTCACATTTCCCCGATTTAGTTCATGATGAATCGACGTTTCGAAGTGGCGAAGTTAGTCCAAAACGGTGGTTTTTCAAGGAGAATATACCGTTTTTTTTCAAAGGGACGTGGTCGAAGTCACATGGTGTCGGACTTTCTTGTTCAGCATCCGAGTGGACCGTTTTTTGGGCTTAGCGAAGATGAATGGAAAGAAGCAGTCGGGAAATATAAATCACTAAGCGCAGACAATGATGTTAACTATCTTAGTCGCACAGTCACAGCCAGTATTAATATCGGAACAGACGCCTACTTTGACAACGAAACCATCTGAAGTCAATTTGAAAGGCTCTGCCAAATGCTAGAATTTAAACAAGAATATAAAAATAATGTAATAGAAATCATCGTGGACAACGCAAGAACTCATACTACGACAGCGTATTCATTGGTAGAATTTGGTAAAAATATTGGTACCTGATGTCCAATTGAGAAAATTGAATATGTAGATGAAAATGGCGCAACAATAGCTATTGATTGCTATTTTAAACAAAGGGCAAACAAAGATAAATCAAAAGGCTTAGTTGAAATATGTAAAGAACTAGGTGTACAACTACCGGCTAAGGTTAAATTACATGAAATTCGTGAAATATTTTCAAAACATCGAGCTTTTCAAAATGTAAGTGAAAGTCATTTCATAGTTGGAAGCTATATTCTGTTCTCTATTATTTACTCTATTGTCTAGGTTACAAAACTTGAAATATTAGCAATGAAATATAATGTTAAGATTATATACTGCCCTAAATATCATTGTGAACTAAACTCAATTGAAGGTCTTTGATGTAATCAAAAGGCATTTGTTCGTTCACGTACAGATCAAAGTTTTGAAGAAAATGATAAAGTTAATATCGGATTCACGTAAACATTTCGTTGAACGACAAATTGCACTAAAATTATTCCGAAGGTTTTGGCGTTCAATCGAAGCATATTCTCAAGGTCAAATATATGCTGATGTATTAAAATTGTTTTTCAGCCAACTCTGCAAAACAACAATTCAATCACATCGTAGAATATCAAACAAAAACATAAACGAAGCATAATACAGGCGTTTTCTAGGACAGGTTCTCCAGAGACCTTCTAAAGATCTTTCGGAGAACCCTTAAATATTGTTCATTCGATTAGCCATCAGTTTTTACCTATATGAACAAATTTTTACTCGATTTGAATAAAAAATAGGCATTTTATTCAAGAATGACCGCCCCATTTATCCTATCATATCAGTAAAAACGACTTTTCTCAGCACAGGGAAGGAACAAGAAAAAAATGATCCGTAGTGTTATGAGGGCTGGTATGATGAGTAAAATGAGATAAAATATTTCATTCCATCATTTACATGAAAAAACTAGATAGGTTTACAAAATCGTCCTATGGCTAATGGACTCCATCGGATTTGAAGCGCCACCATTAATAGAGTGTTGGATTTAAAGTCGATTTAACAACTTATTTCTACTTAGTTTCTGATGCCGAATCGGAAAAATTATTTTCAGAACCTGAAGCAAAGACGAATGCAGAAAATTTTGAACAATTCGAAAAAAATGCCTTTTTCTTGAAAAATGACACCTTCAAGGTATTTCATATTTTTCGACCGGAAGGAAGTATTCGCTAAGGTTAAAAAGTAGATTTTCATGATCAGCGGCTCTTGCTCTATCAAACGATGTAAAAAAATAGGCAACAAACATTTTACTCGAAGTTCGAACTGCCTGCACCTTATCTATTTGCTAAAACACATCATCAAATTATCGAATGAAACTTAGATTTTGAGTTAAAAGTAGATAGACCAGGTGGGCTGTCATTTCAAAGTGGCCTACCTGGCCTGTCCTAGGGTCCAGCCTGACCTATTTGAACCGCTGCCTTGTAGCATCTTTACTTTCATTGATATTTAATTCGCATCCTTTAGTTCTCCAATCCCTCGAGGGAAGCATGTCATGCTGTCTTACAATTGGAATGGTCGAGATACTGTGTCAAAAATCGAGCGAATTCTTACTGAAGAAAATATTCCTGTTTGGTACGATGGAAACGGTGATATGAAGGAAGATATGTATGCAAGGTATGTCCATGAAAATAATTATTCTTTCTTGCTACAATATGTATGAGTTGTTGTTCTGCATAGCCTTGCTAATGGAGTAGAGAATGCAGCTGTGGTATGTTGCTTCATTACGCCAGATTATGAAAAATCTGAGAATTGTCAACTCGAATTGCGATACGCACAAAATCGATGCAAACGAATCATTATATGCATGCTGAGTGATACAAATATTTGGAAACCCGTTGATTGGTTCGAGTCGACGATTAGAGAATATGAAAGCATAGATTTTCATAATGTCTACGAGAAAACTATTCGTTCGAAAGTAAATGATCTGATTCATCGAATAGACGAGCAACTTCTGGCGTCACAATATGCACCATCACAGTTAACCACAGAAGCAAGTTATCTATTTGAATTGATTAAACACAACTATAAAAGAAATAGTCGTATTGAACGTTTCATGAATCCGACCAAATCGTTTCCAATTGAAGAGAGCTATATCAATTTGTCCATCATTGGAAGCAAAGAACAAGAAGAAAAAGAGAAAAAGCTTCGTAGTATTAAACACAACGAAATTATCATCGATACATTTGAAGAAATCTATGGCACCAAAACACCAATTGATGTTAATGACATTTTTAAAACGTGTAAAGACCGACCAAGGAAAATACTTGTATTCGGTCGAGCGGGAATCGGTAAAAGCACCTTTTGCCGATATATCACTCACCAATGGGCCACAGGTATTCTCTGGCCAGAGTATGACTTGGTTGTTCTTATTCCATTACGTTCATTGGTGGAAAGCCGTTATCCTCTCCTGTCCCCCGGTCAAACTTATTCATTGGTCGATCTTTTAAGCACAGAATATTTCTCAAGTAGTCTGTCTGAAAATGATAGGGAACTCTTAAAAAAGCAACTGAATAAGGCAGGAGTACTGTGGCTTTTGGATGGATACGATGAAATAGTGCAGAACGTTTCACAACATTTGCAGTGTTTGTTCAACCATTTACTTAATACTCCTCAGCATATCATGACATCACGTCCGTACTTCAATACTCTATCGTACGCTGTGCAGATGGAAATTACAGGCTTTACAGACAAGAACATTCCGACATATGTACAATGTTTCTTTGATCAAATTAAAGAAAATGTCACCAATATATCCTTGGAATATGAAAAATGCTTGAACTTTCTGAAAAAGAATCCCAGAGTCTGGGGTATTGCACATATTCCAGTAAACTTGGAACTTATCTGTAGTGTTTCGAGTGAAATTGATTGCTTCGAAAACGAAACACTGACAATGACCACACTGTACGATAAAATGATTGAAAGTCTATGCCGACGACACATAGCACGATACACAACGCAAATTCAAATTACTAAGGAAGAAGTCTTTGCAGAATGCAACCAGGAGCTCAAATTCCTTGAAGCATTGGCATTTCAAGCTATGGCAGAAAATACAATAATAATACGTAAGGAATTGTTACAGAAAGTTATGAAAGATACTGGTTCTTCGCTTAAAACTCATCCGAATCTGCTCAACGTTGGCTTTCTAAAGTCATTAAATCATGGGTTTCTTGGCAGCCACATTGAAGTTGAGAAGCAACACTATTTTGTTCATCTCAGTTTTCAAGAACATTTTGCTGCGCGTTATCTTCTTCATGCTCTGAGTTTGTGGTCAAGTCAAAAAATTACCTCCTTCATTAAGATCCATAAATACGAAAAGCGTTTCACCTTAGTCTTTATGTTTTTATCAGGACTCCTCCTAAACGCCAAAGATCAAGCACAGATCAATCAATTTTGGGATACTATTCTCGGAGAACCATGCGATCTAGTTGGCCTTCGGCACCTACAGCTTCTCACTTCATGCTTCGACGAAGCTAATTGCAGCCATGTTATAGTAAAACGAGATGAGGTCATACACTATATCGTTCGTTGGATCAAATATATTTCATCCACCGCAAATTCTCCTCTACAACAGAGCCTTCAAATGACTATGTACACGTGTACATCCCTACCTAATGAGCCTGCAATACAAAACACTATCATTCACTTACTAAGAAACTCCCCTCTTCACACCATCCGCAACATTACTAAACTCCTCTTGCACACACCAATTACAAATCCACACACAACGATCATTTCATCGCTCCTCGACCTCATTTCAACTCAAGATTCCGAAATCATCATCAACGCTACTACCGCTCTTGTGAACATTGGTGATAAAGCAGCAACAAATCAGCTCATCGATCGACTGATTCGTGCACTTCGGCAAAATAATTCTTTAGCAAGGTGGAGGGTATGTGTAGCTCTGGCAATCATGAGTGAAAAGACAGCAACAAGTGCGATCATCAATCGACTACTTATTTCACTCGGAGACAATCATTCGTTACTCAGGTGGGGTGCATACCAAGTTCTGGGGAAGACGGTTGAGAACGCAGCAACACCTCAAATCATTAATCGACTAATTAATGCACTCCATGACAGCCATCGGACCGACACATGCATACCACTCGAAGCTCTAGGTAAGATGGGTGAACAATTAGCACCAACTCACGTCATTAATCGACTAGTTAGTGCACTTGGGGACAATAATCCATTGGTCAAGTGCATGGCATGTGAAGCTCTGGGAAACATGGGTGAAAAGGCAGCAACAAGTGAGGTCATTAATCGACTGGTTTGCGCACTAGCTGACAATAAATCATTCATCAGCAGCCAAGCCTGGGAATCTCTTGCTCAGATGGGTAACAAGGCAGCAACAACTGAGGTCATTGACCGGCTAATTTGTGAACTTCGGAACATTGATTCAACAATCAGGAGGTATGTCTCTCAAGCACTAAGTAAGATGGGCGAAAACGCAGCAACAAGTGAGCTC